ATAATCAACCAATGGCCCAATTTTCCAAATTGGGCCTATATCTCCACATAGGTCTTGCCATGAGGCCCAATCCTTCTTTTCAGTCCAATACACTTTATGTTCTGATGGTCCAATAAAAATCCAAACAATTAAGCCAAAAATGCTAAAAACCACCCGTGGCCAAATTTTCCAAATTGGGCCCAATTCCTTCCGGGCCTTTTCAACATCTCTTAGAACCCAAAAACTGATGGCCCAACAGGGCCCAAGAAAAACAAGCCCAACAGTTAGCCCACACTGAATCCCAATAATCAACTCCACCCGACTGAGTACGCAGGGCGTACTCAGCTGTATGCTAAGCGTACATGATGTTTGGCTTGTACGTTGTGCGTACAAACTTGTACGCCCAACGTACTACTCCATTAATCCAAATCCTTATTGAGCTCTTAATGCTCGGTCCAACAAGTCCAAACCACATATCTACTTCTAATTAAATGACTAGAACCATAAAGTTACTGACTTGATGACTTTGCATGCCCCCAAAAGACCAAATCTCAAAGTATAGCATTCTAATTCCATGGAAACGACTCAAATTGCAACATAGATGGTCTTAAAATCTAAAGGTACCAACTTTATGGACCTTGAACCTCGGAAACACTAAGAGGGGCAACTCAAGGTTCCTGGAATGAAATCAAGGCCACTAGATCTCATCCTTGGGACCAAAATGAACTAAAACTCACAAATGAGAGATCTATGATGTTAATGATCAAGTTTAGAGCTTTATACCTTCATCAAGCTGATAGTGAGTCACAAAAGCTAGATCTATAAGCTTCTCCTTGATCCCCATATTTGCATCAAACTCCACCTTCTTGAAAATGGACCAAACACTCCAAATATGAACTCCTTAAGCTGAAAATGCCACCATGAGTGATTAAGGATAATTTCTAGGGTTTTAGAGGGTGGGGACTGACTTAGAATGAAGAAGAATGCTTAACATTATGCTTATATAGGGTACAACCCTAAGATTAGGGTTTTCAATCTGACCCTCGTACATCCCGTGTACCCTGAACCAACCTCGAATATACGCTACACGTTCCTCCCAACTACGCTTCACGTAGTTCCTCTCTTTGGTACGCCCTACATACCACCTTGGTACACCCCGCGTACTATGGGCTTTTCCCAAAACCCTAATTCTCCCGAAGGTCATAACTCACTCGATACAACTCTGATTCTAACCATTCATCCATCCACAGAAAGGTATCGAGATGCTCAACACTATTATCAATTCCTACCTGCTATAACATATCCCGAACTAAAGTCCATTTTCCATAAAGTCCGAGTCGATAAATTACCGAAATACCCTTTGATCCAAAAGCTCAAACTAAATACCCGAGCAATCCAAGGTACATTATCCAACTCTAACTGGGTCCGAAACCGAACCCCTCAGGTATATGTAGCTTGATAGCACTTAATCCTTTGATCACCAATTCAAAGTGGAATCAATTCAAAACATGATGTTATAGTTTCAAACGGAATAAGAATCATCAAGAAGATTTCTCACATTCTCAAATGGATTCCAAAACGCTCTTGATTTTTGGTGATCTGGTGAAGAACTTTACCTTCCCCAACACATCCAAAAATATGGTCGATACCTCCACAATCCGAAATAAATACAACCTTCCCAAGGCAACGGATACCAATCCTAAAAGGACTTTACCACCTGAAAAGAAATGAACCTTAAGCCCTCTTGCATAAAACCACCTCTATCCTTTCGGAACTCAAAACTTCAAATTGACCTAGCTTCTTGAAAACTGCCCACACTGAACCATCATTGAACTTATTCCATAAGAAAACCAGCCTAAACATAATACTTTCCACCCGTAATACCTTGAGACTTCCAAAATAACAAAATCACCGGTCAAATGCGGCTACAGAACGCTCAACTTGTTAGGAGGCTCAAATAATCCTTCGAGTAAACGCTTCACCCCTGCATGGTTAGACTCAGACGAGAGTTACGCAACAGGGTCTAATTAGCCACACTGAGATAATTTAATCCAACTGTAAACAACTCCGCGTATACCCAGAATAACAAGAAACTCCACATATGAATCCCAATCATTAAACCCACTTCGACTCTTCCTGTTACCACCTGCTGCTTTTCAGAAGTAGCCAAGATGTCCCTGGTCCCAACTTATCTGCACACTACCCGAAACACCAGACACCTAACCGATTATTGAGCCAAAAGACACACACACACAATAGTCCCATGCGTATCCCGAAAAGAAAACCGACTGGCAGGACTTGCTTACACACCTTGCCGTCACACTTCTGCTAACAGAATGAACGCTAGATGACCCACTGCAGTCTCATCTCCTACCCGGTCTCCAACAACCCATCTTTCGCAATAGTATGTGTTATGCTATTACTCATACTACAGTAAAATTCACTATTTTAGATGAATTATAGAAATGGCAAGAAGAGGACCTAAAGCCAGAAA